ACAATCCGATGGGAAAACATTTTTATCACAACGATGATGGGCGTCCTATTCAGAATTGAGAAATTTTTGGACCCCAATTTTCATTTTCCTGCCCCTGTTCAGAGCATCCTTACAGATCCAAAATGTGGGTTAGTAAATTTCATCCTCAGTGAATGGTACAAGTAAAATTGGGTTTCTGGGGATTTTTTGGTTTGAAGGAGTTAGTTGGATGCTGTGGTCTAATGACGACGGATACAAGTCATTGCCATTGGACCTGTTGACTAGTAACTGGTACAGTTAAATAATCCAAATATGCTGTTTGCGTTTGCTCTTCTTGACCAGGCAGAAGCCATGGAACATCCTCCATGAGACCCTCCAATCTTTCTTGCTAAGTGCCAGCTTTTGTGGAAAGATTTGGTGAGTTTCAGTAATGGTTCGGTGTATGTGGAAGGGACCGGTAGGACTGAGTGGAGCAGCGACGTTGCGATTGTGGTGGGATGGGAGTTTGTTGAGATAAGCCAGTTCGGCTCTGGTATTTTTTTTGTTATATTTTATCACAAAGTTCCTGGGAACCAAAAATAAATAAAAAAGCTAAACGTGTATTTGTGAAACATCAAAACGCAACCGTTTCAATTGATGAACAGAGGATCTGACCCTTTTCCTTTTGTTTTTTTGGGGGAGGCCGGGCGGTGAGTGCTTAAAATTTCACATTCCCATCAAAACTTCTGGCTGGCTTAGTATGCTTTTCCATTTTTCGTTGTGGTATCTACCTGCTAATTTATAGCTGATCACATTTTTAATCTAAGGAAGTAAATGGTCATTTGTGCATCTTATAGTCATGACCATATTTAAAAAAGAAAGTGCTGACAGACAATTGCCATTTTTGACAGTGATCGTTGGGGAAATTGCTAATTTTGCGGCTTATGCATTTGCGCCAGCTATACTAGTAACTCCTCTTGGTGCTCTCAGCATAATTATCAGGCATGATAAAAACTCGCACATGAATATGGTTGCTTCATAGTATTGAGTGCTGATCATACTATTGTCTTGCAGTGCTGTGCTTGCACATATTATTTTACGTGAGAGACTTCATATTTTTGGGATTCTTGGTTGCGCTCTATGTGTTGTGGGTTCTACAACAATTGTGTTACATGCTCCTCAAGAACGTGGTATTGAATCTGTAACAGAAGTTTGGGATCTTGCCATGGAACCAGGTAATTGGTTTATTCTCTACAACCATTTGTCTTTTTATTGACTATTTGATTCTTAATTTGCATGGTTTACTCTCATTTGACTACTCTGAAGGGAAAGCAATTTTTTTTTAATAATTATACTTGTTTGTTGGTAGGTTTTCTCTTGTATGCAGCTTTGGTCATAACTGCTGTGTTTATTCTTATATTCCACTTTATCCCGCAATATGGCCAGACACACATAATGGTCTACATTGGAGTTTGTTCCCTTGTAGGTTCCTTATCGGTATGTTTTGCTATATACTTCTGTTAATTTGAAATTAACTTTCTTTCTCTATGTCATCTTCTTTTCAAGTGTTTTTTTTACTCTAACGGTGTCCTTTGACAGGTCATGAGTGTCAAAGCACTTGGAATTGCTTTGAAGTTGACATTATCGGGCATGAATCAACTAGTTTATCCCCAAACTTGGGTCTTCACTTTAGTTGTCATTACATGTGTGCTTACCCAAATGAATTATTTGAACAAGGTAAGTATTAGTCCTTTCCTGTCCTTGCATTATTCTTTTTTTTTTTTAAAAAAAAATTTGTAATACTTTTTAAAGTTTTCTAAATAATCATCTTCTATTTCCTCTTTGGACAAAACCAAAAGTATTAGTCCTATAAAAAGGGTGGAATGTTCCATTTTAAATTTCTCCTTCGTTACATCCATAAAACAACAGGTGGATGTCATCATATTCTAATTCAATCATTTCGAAGCTGTCAACAACCCAGGTGGAGGGTAAATTTAATCCATACCATTAACAATTTTCTTGAGTGACAGTGACCTCAGCTAACATGGGAGAATACGTGTTCCCATAACGTGTACTTTCTGGTCTTCTTTATTGGTGGAATCCTGCCCCCTTTTTGTATGTTTAAACTTTGACTCAATCGAACTTCCTTCTGATTGACCTTTTTTCCTTTCACCCAAGCAAATTTTAAGACAGTAAAAAAAAAAAAACTTAATGATAATGCCAATCATCAGAAAAGGAACAAAGGATGTATTGGGCCTGAACTTGAGAAAAAGTCCAATCATGAAGTTTGCCCCTTTCTTTGTGCTTCAGCATTTGCTTTCACTGATGTCCAAAACCAGCCTAATGATGCATTATGTGACAGATCCTCAGCAACATTATGCAGATTTTGTCAATTGTGAAAAAAACTATAATAGTTCACATTATTTGATTGTGGGTCTTGTTTTTACCTGTTACAATTTCCTCCTTTTGAATTGTAGTCACTTTCTATTTCCTTTTTGTTTTTCTTGTACGTTTCTGTAGAATGGAACCATGTTTTACCCTTTTGCTTCATTGTTAGTTTGTTACTGTTTTCTAATGGCTCCTTGAATTATTATGATAGTTTTTTCCCTTCCATTGCAGGCACTTGATACTTTCAACACAGCTGTGGTATCTCCAATATACTATGTTATGTTCACATCACTAACTATTCTGGCTAGCGTTATCATGTTTAAGGTATATTCTTCCTGCGATTATATTGATACTCTTTTGTTTTTGTTGTTACTTTGTAAATATTTTTCTGGTTAGTTAGATTTAAAATTGTCTGTCATGAAACGCTTCAGTCTCAATAGAGGTGTCCATTGCTGCCACCCTCTCTGTGACTTTTAATTATAAGCTAGTCGTCCAAATCTTTTCTTTTTTTCTTATTATGATGGGGTGATATTGAGTCTACATATTTCCTATGTTACTGTACTTTCAGGATTGGGACAGGCAGAGTCCAACCCAGGTTGTCACGGAAATGTGTGGGTTTGTGACTATCCTTGGAGGAACTTTTCTGCTTCACAGAACGAAGGATATGGTTGATGGTATGTTTCCTTTTATTATTTTTATCATTGATAGATTATCGTCAATCTTAACAAGGAACCTATGGTTGGGTGTTTGGTATTTGCCTGCACGGTTTTTGGACTCTGAACAAATAAATTCATGTTTCCCATACTGAACCTTGCATTGGTAATGCCATCGAATCATACAGGTTTGCCAACATCAATGTCCTCCATGCGACTATCAAAGCATGCAGACGAGGATGGAATTGATGGTGAAGGCATCCCTCTTAGACGGCAGGATAGCTCGAGATCACCATGATGCATTCTTTAGCTCACATCTGCCATTCCCACAAGCTTGCATGCTTATTTTTGGGGGACGTTGCTAAGTGTACCTGTACTTTATGGAGCATCGTATCTACCCCTCCTACCCAATCTTATATATTTTTTTGGATAGCGTCAGAGATTGGTAAGAGTTTTCCCCCCTTTTTGTTTATTTTCGCTGGTTGGCTTTACAGTTACTGCGTTTAGCAATAACATTGTATACTCTCTCCCCCACCCCTTGACAAAGAGATTGGCCAATTGTAATTTTACGCAAATTGGTTCTGCAGTGTATCTTCTTGGCTAACATTTGCCATTCAATGGATTTTTAAAGAAAATCTGAGATGGGCTTCTCTCTATCTCTCTCTCTCTCTCTCTCTCTCTCTCTCTCTCTCTCTCTCTCTCTCACACACACACACACACACACACACACACACAAACAAAGCGAATCTGACTGATTGAATTTTTGTACAACACCGGCAGCAAACACTTTTAAAACTAGAGAGTTAATACTTGTTATTGTGCCCCAATATTTGTCTGATATCTTGGTGTACAAGTCACCGCATGAACTTTCCTTTCTCGGACAGCATCTGTTTCTTTTGTTGTAATTCTCATTTTTATAATAAATAATTCTAAATACATCGAAGAATTTGATCAGTGACACCCAAAAAGAAAAAGCCATGGTTGCCCTCCTGAGATACCTTGCCACCATCTCCAGAGGTCAACCATGGCTTTTTTTTTCTTTTTCTTTTTTTTGGGTTGGGGGGAATGCATGTTAAGGCTCGCATTAAGAGCAAAGAAGAGAAGCAAAACACCCCTTCCTTACGAGCAAAGCAGGGTCTGAAACTTGAGCCAAAAGGAACCAGTTGGTTTACATTGGAATGATAGACGTAAGGATTTGTAGTCGGAATGGAAAAGGAAATCTTTAGAAAAACGTTTTGTCGCAATAACAATTCAAATTTTAGCATCTAAACTTGGGTTTAATTAATTAATCATACTCTGATTTCTTATCCAAAAATAATTAAATGGCTTATGGATGTCCTACAATTTCCCCTCACCATCTTGCCTTGTGATAAAATAATGAGGATTATTCTACCTCCTCGTGCCCCCTTAATCAAGCAAGAGATCATTGTCATTTCGATTTGCAGCATGTGTGGTGAACCAGAGTCACACAAGTTTATACTGAGCGGTAATCTAGGGCCGCGAACCATCAATCTTTACAGTGTCCATGATGAGAACGTATAATTTAAAGCGTGGCGGTCCAAAGAAATCAAGTACCCAAATACACATTCTGAGTGCAAATAAAATCGCTCTCAAAGTACCATAAATAGTATGCTACTGTTGCGTTGGAATAACCAAGTGTCTTGAGGAGGAGAAAAACTTCCCTACCCCCATTGCATCGCATCACCCCTTTTCCCTATCAATGTTGCATTGCATCACCCCTTTTCCCTATCAATGCAACGGGATAGGGAAGTATTTCTCCTTGAGGAGGGTCCAACTGCTTGCCAATCTTTGTTCTCATAGTCTAACCCTTTTTAGAACCATAAAACCAATCTTTATATAATGCTGGTTACCAGATTTCAGGATACAAAATAGTTCAAGTAAAACTGTAAGCTTGTAATGTAATGGCATATTGCATTTCAAACCAAAATAAGAAAGAAATAAATAAATAAAAGACATATTGCCTTCTTTTCTTTACGTGAAAAAGAATACAGCTCTTGATCGATTCACATGTATGAAAATAAAACCTTATGCACACAAGTGTATCAATCAAGACATCAACAGAAAACTTTTCTAGCATTCTTTACACTATTTTTGTTTTCCCTCCCCCACCTTTTATTGCATTTAATGTGCCATAAGCTTCTCGCAACAAGAGAAGCTTATGGCAAGTCATAATCACATCAAGCATTTGGCCGCTGTGGTATTTTGCCTGGAGTTTATGATAGAGGTAGAGCTACATTTAGTCATTAAGTGCAAAATTGACAACACTTTCTACTTCGGCTTTTGCTTCAAAAGACCAGAGAGCGAAGCACAGTGAGTCGAATTGTAATTGTGTTTCTCACAGCAAGACTGCAGCAATTCAATGACTGTAATGCACCTGCCAAGTATAAACACTAATCACAAAAGTAATAACAGAAATCAGGAAATGCCTGAGAAGAGAGGAATCACGAATGCATAAGTTTGATATTGACTATAACTCTGACATATATAGCCAGTTACACATTATAAATGATATGAAAAGGACAGTTACACACTTCAAAGTGGAAACCATCAATTAGCTTTGAATGCAAACAAGTTTATGACACAACTTCTGAATGTCAGCAGAAAGCAGGAATCAACTAACAAAGTTTCATAAAATTGGTTACCAGTTCAATATATACACAAATGAGCATTATATAAAAGAACAAATCCAACATACTCAAAATCCAGCATATTCAAAAGCACAAATGAGTATTACTTAAATGCTTGCTAGACCAGATCATGATGCTTCTAGTTTGACAACCAGGAGAAGGCCTTAAATCCACAATAACTACAAATGTCGGGACAACCAGACCATGTATTTTATATGAGTTCGACATTGAAATATTGACAGAAGTTAGCTCAAACAGCAACCAAAGGTAAAAAAAGACATTGGAAGAGAATGGTCTGAGTAGGATAAGAACTTATGAATGTAACCCCATATTATTCTCCATGACTCGTTACCAGACACTCAATTTCTACTATCATGATCAAAGAAGACTTTAAGGTGGCTTTAGCATACCAGTTACTTTATTCACCCTAGCTACCAGGGTGACTCCACATCATTATGGCTCAAATATCTAAAGTAAAGTAAGCTGGCAAAACTATTATAAAAAACCAGATATAATTTTTATTTTCAATTGAAAGGTTGAACAGGAAGGCCTTCTAGTTTATGTCAAACAGGCACCTAAGCACCAGAGAAGTCTGTTGAAAAGCCACATACTAAAACTTAACATTCAATCTCCTTGATCAACCGCACTTACACTCTAAAAAAAGTAGATATAAATGGTGAATCTTTGACACTGTTCTATCCAACTTGCAATGCATGTGTCATTTGTGCCAATTGGAAATACACGATGGTGTCAACCCGCACAAAACTCAATTTTCATACAAAAAAGAAAAAAGAGAAAAGGAAAAGATAGAGACAAAATGTATGCCTCATGAACCACTGTTTCTAAAGACCTGCTAAGATAGCTGGAAATGGTAGAATGTTCCTTCATTATTTTGTTAAAAGAAAAGGGTGGAATCATTTGCTGGTCATATATGCATAACATAGAGCCACAACTCCTAGTCAGTTTAGCTTGATATCTACCAGTATGAGTATAACTCCATCTGTTGTTGGAGATCACACATGCACACTTTCATGGTCCTAAAAGAAAACATTGCCAAGGAAACAACTAAGCTAAACCATTCTGCCTCGAATTGTTCCCACTTTGTGTCAAAGCACCACTCTTTTGGGATCTTTCTTTTTTTAAAAAAATTGAGTTGAAGTTTCTATATTGAGCGATAACATTATCATCCTACTTGGGATGAACTTATACAACATTTGATTTATTTATTTATTAACAGTAAACAACAAGCTCTCTGATACACGTTTCAATGTTGTGGGAATTTTGGGTTTTCATTAGATGAAACCAAATTAAGTGTATAAATTTGAAAAAACCAAACCAGAATATATATATGAAGAAGAAATCCAAAGCAACCATTGGAAATGAAGAAAAAAAATCCTAACCAGCTAAATATCACAATCCATGTATGTACAAATAAACCAGACCAAAACGAAAGATAAAGAAATAAACAGAAGTTAGAGAGAGACATTCGACAATGAAATTAAATTTTCATTTCGTGGAAAAATTGGAAAGAGCATTCAGAAATGTTATTTGATGTTTCTTCTGTTTTCTCGGCAACCAAACAACAGATACAGATTAATTAGGCGGAAAAAGAAGACGTACTTTTGAGGGAGGAAATTGTTCTTGGAGAGACATGCTTGAATGTAGCAGGCTTCTTTCTTGCACGGCTCTATGCTTTCTCGCTTCGCCATCTCTATTTTCTAATTTCTAATCAATTTGCGTTCGAAAATGGCAGCTTTTGCGGTTTCTATTATTTTAAAGCGCGACCGACCACCGACCTTTCCTATAGTGCCTCCTACTGTGCAGGTTCTGTCCTGCCCCCCGGTTAAGCAATTGCTTTATGCGATTCTTTCTTTTTTGAGTTTTGGTGGCTCTACAAGCGCTTTTTCGCAATTAAATGTATTGGCTCAATAATAAAAGTGTTTATATGGATCATAAAAACATTTTGTAGATAAATACATAACAGATGGTTCTTATGGAATCAATTCGAGAAGCACTTGGATTTTTAACAAAAAGCATTTATCCTGCATCCGAGTTTCTTAGGTTCGATTCTACTTCCTAAATATCGCTAGTATTAAAAAAGAATTAATTATATATAATTTTTTAATTCTTTGGTAAATTTATACTTTTGTTTCATCTGCTTTTTTTCAGTGGAGAATTTTATTGTCACCCCAAAAGTAATAAGGCATTGACTTGGGCAAACCAAAAAAATAAGTTTACTCAATTTTATTTGGTGGCACCAACCAATTATGATAGCTGACGCCGTTAAAGAACAGCAGACGAAGATACCCTCCTCCTTAAAAAGGCCGTCTCGAAGTATCTGTCACAGAAGAAAGCTCAGTTTTAGTTGTGGATGCGTTGTGTTGTGTTGTGTCTCTCGTTTTCAAGTAATTTAATTCAACTCAATTCTGAAAAGAATGGAAGCTGCAAAGCCATTGATAAACGCTTTCAGAACAAAATCAAAGCAGGCCACGCTGCTTTGGCTTGAGGGCTTCAGAGAGGCCTGTTGCCTTCACCGTGTCCTCATCCTCTGCCACAGGTATCTCTCTTCAGATAATTACTTCAATTGCACGCTTTAATTAGTTTCAATTTATTTTAGTTAAATTGCCTCTACTTCTTGTTTGGTTGGCGAGAAAACGAAACAAGCTAGAGAAAAATAAAGCGTTTTTTTTCTTTTTCTTTATCCCTTTTGGTTGCCTTTTCTTTGCCTCCAGGCGTTGGATAAATTTTACTTCACTTTCTAAGGACCCAACGGGGAAAAAATTCATAAATTTTGTTTTATTTGGTTTAGTTTGTATTAACTTAAGTTCTGATGGCAGGTCGAGAAAGCTTTTGATACGTACAGGACAGTGTTTTCTATTGAATGGCTTCATTTTCTTGGGAAGGTAATCTCTTTCTGTTGCTCTCTGTGTATGGTTGGCTTTATTTGTTATAAAAGAATGTATCTGGGATACGATTCATTACTTGGGTTATTACTTGTGAAAATTTGAGCTGCTCATAGCTGATATATTGGGTACTTGAGATTTTTCTCACACATCCATGGAAGAAAAATAGAGAAGTCTGTCACTTTATAAATAAAAATTAATGAAGAAGAATAGGTGATATAGGCTGAATAAAATGGCATGAGAAGGAGTAGAAATAAATAAATTAATGTAGTGGCTGAAATTGAAAACAGTGCAACGGCTGCTGGGGTGGCTGTGAATCGTAAGTAATAAATCTGTGCAATTTGTTCTGCTTGCCTTACATTGTTCCACAGTTCAAAATTTTCCATTGATTATAATGTGTTAGACTACTCATTTGGTAAATCTGATTATTCTTTTTCACGGTGCAAGTGGTTTTGGCAATAGAGTATGGTTTGATTAAACTAAGTATGGTTTCGTGCCCCCCTCGCAGTAGTTTTTAGACCAACTTCTTGGAAGATGTATCTTCTTGTTTATAGCATTTTTTAGATCTTAGTTTATGTTTAGGAGTTTTGCATTTGATTAGGAGTATCTTTTTCAACCCCAACTGAATATGTTTCATTGTTTTCCAAGTGTTTTTTTTGTTTCCTGTTTAGAGTATTTTTAGGATCTCTGCATATCTTCAAAGGTAATTCCTACAACATTTGGGAGATGCAAGGAGTTGATTATTTTGGCGAAGTTATAGGGTGCTCAATATAAGATGCAAATTAGGTTTTCTTGATCTTTTCATGAGGAGTGAAAAATCTCTAGAATTACTTGAAATAAACACTTTTTGATGATTATACTAGTCTTTAGACAGTTTGTACACAGTCTACTATCCGCAAAAGTACTCTATAAAGGTGAGCAACTGGTGTTCAAATTTGGATCTTGCATTCTTTCCATTTCATCTCATGATGCTGCCCTTATCTTTGGCTGTGTAACAGTAGGCGACTGAAAGATGTCAATTTGGGCAGGACAAATGGAAACAATTCGAGGCTTGCTCTAATAAGATGTGCTTAGGTCTAGGACTAGGTCAAGATGTAATTCTGTTATTGTAGAAGCTATGAATAATGTTGATCAAAGCAGAGGGATAAAAATGATAAAAGAACCCCCAAAGGGCCTAACCAGGAACCTCAGACCACATGAAATGTTTCTCCAAGGTCAAGGGATTTTACTAGAACCCCTCAGCATGACTTGGAATCCCATCCTTGTTCTCTTTTCAGAATATCCATTGTCTGTTGTAGGGCTAATCTGACCCTGTGAATTACTTTCTTCTGTTTCTGCATTCAAGAAATCAATATTTTAACTTTCTTACAGGCTGGGTTGTTTCCAAAGACCACATTGGTTAAGAAGAGTGTTTTTGTCATCAAAGTGAACTGGACTGAATGAAGGAATTTGATTAACGTGATGATACATGTGATTCTTATGTCTAATAATATTGAGGTCTAAAAGAATCAATTAAATCTTTGATTTCCATGTCACAGTTTGCTTCCATTCTTCTATCAATCTAAATAGTCTAGTTATTTTTATTTTCTGCTGAAGTTGTGCTCTTATTACTATTAATGTGGATGCTCTCAAGCTTGAAGATGCTTATATCTGGTTGCCTGAGTTGATTCATTTCCCAGTATGACCTCTGCTAACAAATTTGTAAAGTAGAACCTACTCATAAGAGTGCTTTAAGTGGTTTGATGGACAAGTGCATTTTAAATCCTGCATGTCTGAGACTCGAAATTTGAAATCCTAATTTGTCTTTGTGCAGTATAATTATCCTTAACTCAGTCATCGTCCCAGCTCTACACTGGATATTACCTGATAGGTGCCCGGAATTTAGTTCTCAAGAACTCTGCTCATTTGGTGGTATATTGAAATTTTATTCCTTCTTACGTCTTGGGCTCATACAAATCTTTTATGTAAGTTGCAGTCTATGTCAAGTTCATTTTTGTAATTTCAACTGTGTGGCTTTCTTGAAAACCAGTTGAAGTGTTCCTCACTCACTGCTTGGATGGGATTCTATTGAATATTTATATAGTAGGAAATGGATGCTCTCTGTAAAGATCTTACCTAAATTATGTTTGCTAATCTGTCTATATAAAAAAATTTGTTTTGGGCATGCAACTAAGTTTGTTATCTTATAAAGTATCTCTCTTCCATTATGGACACATGAATTGCCTATTGGTTTGTTCTTATAAAAAAAACTATCTTTCTGTTTGCTGATTGGGTTAGGTTAACTGGTGAACCGAAGTATGAAAAAAATAGTGCATACGGATTACAAGAATAATCAACATGCTACTTTAGTTGTCAAATAGTACAAGGACACACATGCCCACCAAAACAAACTCAATGTTTATTATACTTCATTTTCGCCAGGCAATAAACACACAAAAATATGATTACCACTAGGCTAATAGAGATCCCCAAACTCAGAGGCTGGCTCGGATTTTCTGTGCATTCCAACTGTACTTCGCATGCTTTTCTTCAAGTTTTTGAGATTGTGGTGTGAAGGGACTTGAATAAGACACAAATTGATTAATGTTCATATAGGAGCTAATGATAAATTATAACGAAGAACGTACAAATAAAATATGAAATTGTAGATGACTTAAATCAGTAAAAACTTCAAATGAAAACCAAGTGAAATTTACCTAATTCCTATACCTGAAATAAGCAAAGTTGTTTTTTTTCTGCATAGATGGTTAGTACAATTTCAAACATCTATTGGAGAATGAATAAAGCCCAATTTTGCTGAAATTTGCAGCAAACTAAGCTTGCATCCTTTTTCATCTTTAATTTGGAATATCCTTTAGGACCTCCATCAAATTGCACGCATAGTAGCTTTTCCTGGTTACCAAAATATCTGCAATTCTTGAAAAGGAAACCTTTATTAAGGTAACTTGATAAAACTTTACCATTGGAAATTTAGTGTTTATTTAAATCTTCCTTGCACCTAACCTGGATCATGTCCTTAAGGTGTTAAGACTAAGTGTATGCTGTAGTTAACTTTGAAAAATGGAATTTGTTGAGCATTTATATGATTTTTTTTCCCTTTTGCAGGTAACTTGGTTCTACCCATTGTATGTATTCAGCATTATCCTGAGCAACATCTGGTACCTACCAAACTAACCCCTTTTGTTTCATTCTTAGCACCTGCATACAGAGTTTTTAAAGTTCTGGAGGTCCCTTTGATCCCATTAGTTGTTACATCGTGATTGGAGTGACAATAGTTATTAATTTATGATAATTTGTTTCCCAAAGTTTTATGCATTAGTTTCTTATTTTGTATAACGCAAGCCAGCATGTCTTTTGATGTGTTCACTGTTCATTGCAATTTTCTCTTTCCAACTCAAATCTACAATTTTATTTTAACCAAAGGTACAATGACATTGCTAAGTATGGATTTGCTGCAATGGGGAGATCTGGGCCAACCACATTGGATCCTGTCAGACAAAATGAGGCATTGGCCTTACAAATTGGAGCTGGTACGGAAAGACCTACTGGCCTGGGAGGGTAATTAAATTAGTTGATGGTTGATGGTTCTGAAATAGAGACTTCAATTTTTTTATGTATCATAGGAGTTGTGTATGCATCTGTTGAATTTGCAGGGTCATGATTGGAATAGGAGAGCAGGTGTACTCATTACTTCTTTTGAGCTGTTTCTTCCTAGAGGTAATGTAGTTGTTTTATTATGTATTTACTTGGGTGTATGGAATCATAGAGGGGGGGAAAGGCATTAGATTTTGTAATTATTAGAGAGAGAGAGCTTATTTGCAATATTCTCCATGGCTTGTGTGTCAACTTTTGGATGACAGACTTGATGGCTTCTGCAGGTATATGTGACAGGCTTTATACCGTATGTGGGAAAGGCACTAAATTTTCTACTTCTTTCCTGGATGTATGCCTATTACTGTTTTGAGTATGTGGCGCATATACCTTTTTGTTGTAATATTTGAACTTACTGTAATTGCCTAGATAAGTGTGTGCTAATGCACCTTTTGAACTTTCTTAGGTACAAATGGAATTTTTCTGAAGTTCGTCTGGACAAACGGCTGGACTTCTTTGAATCTAACTGGGCTTTTTTTGCTGGTTTTGGTAAATATGCTTCCTTTCTGGAGTCATTGTTTCAGTTGATTTGCAATTTTTTTTAAGTGAACGATTTTTTGTTATTGTTTATTCTGTACACTTTCCACATGGAAAATTACATTGATCTAAATGGCTTCTCTTAGAATTTTGCTTCTTCAGCTTCCTCATGCATGAAACATGATTTTTTTATAAGCAGATAAAGTTGAGTATAAAGACAGTTATCTAAAGGTGTCTCAAAGTCCAATATTTTGATTTTAGACTTCAAGGACACACATGGGAATATGTTTTAGAGATTTATATGCTCACACTTTTTATATTGCTTATATTTAAAACTCTTTTACTTGTTTTGAGGTATTCATATCTTCAATGGCTCTGCAGGAAGCCCTTGTGTTCTGCCTGTTCTCTTTTTCTCGCCTCTTGTGAGCTATGGTTTTATGGCAATACTCTTTCCATTGGTATACTTTTCTATTTTTATTTGGTGGTGATTGGATTTGTACCTAAAAGTTCACTTTGCTCCTATTATTCACATATATGGTAATAGTAGATTTTTCCAGTTTGTTTTGACAGCAACAGGTTCAGAGGCTGAGCAAGTTATTTCTTCTCAAAGAACAAAATGGGGAGATGCAGGGTTTGGAAGGCTTCCAATATTTAATGCTGCAGATACTTTATCGTAAGCTATCCTCATTACTTATGATCTCTGTGCTCAAAATATGTATTGGTTTTTGGTGTTTTTTTTATTATTTTTGTGGAGATGGCTCTGTAGAAAAATGTATCCTAATTTCATTGCCGTGGATATGGAACATTCTCTGTTGTGCATATGCATTGAAAATGGATGTTATGCATAGAACTCCAAAAACCACAAACATTTCCTCAGGTGTATTTGACACTTGCAGGGGACTCGAACTCAGGTATGATGTCTGTTGGACACGTACTGGACATGTGCAGTATGCAAAGGAAAAAAAAGTAATATTTCTTTTCCAACCAAGGAAGGACATGGCAGATGGAACTAATTCTTTGCTGGATAGTTTTATAATACTGAGTTGTGTTATAAAAGTTGAAATATATGCCCTTACCTCTTTTAGTTTTGTTCTTGAAATTTAGAGCTCTAGTATTTATATTTTATAACCTTGTGCTTCAATACGAAAGGCTGTGGGTCCTGATATCTAAACCTGCTATTTTTAATGAAATTATTTATATCTTTTCAATGTCATATGGTTGGTCCAGAAATTGAAGAACTAACATTATTTGAATTCTAATGGGGTCATGGAACAGTGACAGTTCTACTTTTGTTGACTCTTGATTGATCTTCTACAGGATGAGGGTTTTGTCTCTGTTTCCCCAGGAATCCCAGGAGCTGCTTCAGAAAAAGAAAGACAGCTAAGAAGCTTGGCTTGATGCTTACACAAGTTTTAAATAGTAAGTCAAAGTTTTACTATTTGGATATAAAGTATACATTGTGCTCTTATGCAATGATGCTATTTCTTGAATTTTCCATTCAAACCACAAAACTGTGGACTGGGTTTGCCTTGCAGTGTGTATTATATTGATATGATAATAATTTCTTAGTCTTGTGTTTGTTGCCACAGGATCATCAATTCCACCCAATTTGTACATAATTTAAGTGCAATGGCTCAAGATAAAGCATCAGAAAGGGTTGATGTTTCCATTCTGTATTTGTGAGAAAAACTTGGTTGCAACGGGGATACCGCTATTTTGCTATCCCCGGCCAATAATGCTATGCCATGTGGACGTGTTATGACGTGTGTCATCATTATTGGCAAAGGATAACAAAATAGTGCTATCCCCTTTTCATGGAAGTCTTTCTCGTATTTTGTACATACATAGAAAGTAGGTTTTGACTAAAGGGTTATCTTATGTACAGAATAGTGTGATGAAAGACCAATTTCAATGTTCAAATTTGACCAAATGGTTATAAGTGGTGCTCAGCTTGCATTACTATACATGTTGCTGTCCAAATTTGTTTCTCCTGTTTTCAACCATTGTCAAGTAACACTTTGTTATGCAATGTCAATGTTTTGTTAGAATCAAATGCGGAATTCAGTGGATTTGGTCGGTCCATGTCTTGAGTCTGACCAGGAACAAAAGATCAAGTGAAAGTTGTTGGCACTTGTTCAGCCATTTTAGCAAAGTTCCATTAAAAACTCAAGTTGGATAATGAAAAAAAGTACAGGCTTTGTCGTCTTAATGTTAGACAAATACATCATTTTATAGCAGCATTAGTCGTCGATGTGAAATGAAACGGCAACGCGGTCAGCCATTCTTTGACTTCATTATTTTTTTCTTTCTTGTTTTTTCCTATCTTTTTGTGATTATCTTCCTCTAAAATTGGAACTTTATAATTTTATAATACACAAACCATGGGCGTTTGGTGTGCATAAAAAAACTCATGTGAAATGAATTCAAATATCCTTCTCAGGGGAAGATTTCTATCTCCAGTTTGGTAACACTGAGAAAGAACTATAAATATCGTTTTAGTTATTTTCTCATGTCTGATTTGTGCAGGAATGAAAACATAATGTGTTCAGTTTTTCAATTATACCCCTAAATTAGAAATATGCGAACGGTAACTTATGTTAACCTTTACGTGTAACTAATAGGGTCAGATTGATCATAAAATACAATTAATGTTTGCCTTGATTTTTCATTAGAAAGGAAAATGAAACTCGAGATGGAGGGCATCCTTCATTTTTCCCATGAAGCAAAAATTTCTTTTCCAGAGCTAAACAAACATGGTAAATGAAATAATTACTCGTTACGAAGTCTCTTTTTACACTTAATTTGTATACCAACTAGTTCTTGATTTAGTTGCATTTCTCTTTCTAATAGATTCAAATTTTTTGAAATTTGAATCTCTATTCCCTCTTAAAAATAATGAAAAAAAAAAATAATAATTTAAAGACAAATTTTCATGATACAAATTAAGTTCAGGGAGTGATTATTGTTGGCGCTTAGTGCATACTAGCCTTTTTGCACGAGCTTCCACGACTGCGAGAGTTTTTAAAAAAAAAAATTTAAATGAATTTTAGAATTAAAAAATATAATGGATAGTTGTGTTTCATAAAAATAGGATCCATTATTTGATTTTTCTTTTCATTTTAATTTTTTTTAATATAAAAAAGTGTGAATTTACCATATTATCCTCATTTAATTAATAATTTCAATTCTTAATGTTTGCATTAACTAATGACATTTTCTATTATTTTGAATGTTTTATCATTCTCTGTTTTTGGATTTATATATAGAGATTATACTTAGTCTGTATAAATTTGAAATATTTTCACCGTTAAAATTCAGAAATAATTGTAGGTCGCGTGGTCATTTGATCCACGCGCTTTATCACTATCCAGTCTCGCCAAAATCGCACTTACAACACATACGATTGGCGCAAGTGAAGCGCGTGGGCGCATAATTAAATAAATGATCTGATTTATTCCCATGACAAATCAATCCTGACCGTCCATCAACCCGATAAGCTTAAATTATAGAAGCTCCTCTTCTCGTCCTCATGATGAGTCATCATCGCCCCATCCCATCCCATGTTCTTTCCCTCCTCATAAGAATTTGAGATTAAAAGTTTAAATTATAAAAATAGTTCTGCAACTTTTTGTGAACAAACAAGTCAAACTATATACCATAATATATTTATATAATTAATCACTTTTTTATGCTTACGGTTACAGCTTTGGGTTAATTTAATTAATTAATCCCAGTTTTTAGCTTTATCTTGCGTAGATTGCGGGATTAGTGGAGCGCTCACCGATGCCTAATTGCTAATTGCCAATTGCCCAAACACAATAAATTATGATTAAGTGAATGTGCTTAGATTAGAATTGTATTTTTAACATTTTGTTATGAATCGGGTGAAAGTTGAGTTTTGTCTCCTATGCCCATTACCAATCCTAGGGCTTCAAATGCATTGGGTTCACTTGACTTTTGTGTTTAATGTTTTGAAGAAAATTACATTAGTATTATTCATCACTAGTCTCGTAACCAATTTATTTACCAATTGAGTCTTTTTTTCTTCTTCGTTTGTTGATTTTTATAATTCTTTTACTAACAAATTTGTTTACCAAATGATGCCTCAGTGTCTTATTTTTAGAAAAGAATGAAGCCAACGGGGTCTAACCCAGTGGAAATGGGCCTTGATTTGGAAACTAGCGGTCTCACTCAGGTTTGAACCTCCATAACATCATAGTAGTGTGTGTGTGAAATTTCCTCTTTGTAATTTAGACTATCGCTTATACTAAAAATGTAGTTCCTCATGCATTTGTATTAGCCGTTGTAACTGAATTATGAATGCAAATTTTTTTTTCATTTAAAAACAAAAACCAAAATCAGAATTTGGTGGGGACATATATAAATAGAAAAAAAAAATCTAGGGGACCCTATACAAAATCCACATCGTGTAGATATATATATTAATTATGGGAGAAAATGATTAAGCAATGAAAACGAGAAAGTCATATGAATTGACTGTACAAGTCAAAACAAAAGTCACCCTCACCGTCTGTATAATCCCCTTTCATTTCACAGCTAGCTTTATATTAATTTTGCCCTTTTTTCTTTCATTTTCGCAATGCTTTTTTCTTTTCTTTCCCAGATACCCAAAAAGAAAAGAAAATTACAGTACTTTGTTTTCTTTTATACTTATAGAACCTTGTAAAATTTGATAGTGTGTTAAACATTTTTTTACTCCTTTCATTTTTTTGTAAATACAAGTGCTATTAAAAAATTGTGGTAATCAAACACACGAACTCAAGTGTAAAAGTAAATATTCTTAACCACTTGAATTATGTTTCCTCTTTCAGTAGAGGTAGGACAATTCGGTTCGGTACAGTACGATTCACTCTTCAAATTGAAATGAGATTGAAACCAAAAACTACGCACGCTTTGTTTTGGTTGGTTTTCTTCATAGTTTTCTTATCCTTTCTTAATAATTTAATTTAATTTATAATATAATTAAAAGACATAATCAAACATGCTTGGGGAAAGCTTCATGGACACGGTATATATTTTAATCCATAATTATCACATACATATATAAATGAGGAGGACAAACACAAAAGTTTTGGGATAAAACTGTGTATTAAAAAAAGGGTAAAAGCCAACGTACATGCATTCTCAGGTTTGTTTTTAATCTCTCTTTTCTCTGTCTTGGATTGATTAAAGTTAATATAATATTTGCTCTCTCTCTCTCTCTCTCTCCCCGCATGCACATCAAACTTAGTTGGTTGCTGGGTTTCTTCTCCTTGTCCTATATGTTTTGTAAGAAAGGGTTGATTCAGGCATTGAGCTGGTCTCTGCATCTGGCAACTTCTTTCCATCTCATAAAGAGAAGCTCAAGATTTTTTTTGTTGGCTTTAGCCTTTTGCCATTGGAGGGGGAAAAAAGAGATGCTTTATACAATGTGTGAATACTGAAAAAAGAGAAGAGATGAATAAAATTTTATTGAATTTTTCTCTCTTTTATATTCTTTTTGCTTGTTTTCCATTTTCTCTTCTCAATACAAACAAAACAAATATATATAAAAAAAAAACACTCAACAGAAATATCCTCCTATACAATCTCACTCTGCCTGTTCCCTTTGAGTCCCTTTGGACCAAATTCACTAACAAATTACATACTAATCTTGGGGTTTTTCTCCACACAAATCTAGAAAATAAATTGAAGAAATTCAAACTGAACAATGCTACAAATGAGAACTAGGAAACCTATCTTTTTCATCAGATGACATCACCATATCCCATGGAAATTTTCAAGCACTCTCAACTCATCATCTCAAATTCAACTTCCAAATCTGCAAAAACACAAACCCAACAATCTCTAGTTCCTGCTGCTCCTATAATTAATGAAAAATTGGGAAGGACTAAACCAAGCTGCATTTTATGATGTACATATAAATTAAGAAGAAATAAAACTAACCAATATTTATATGTCATTGAGAACTATTTGGGGCCTCATCTCCACTATCAGTAGTTTGAGGCTGGTGTTGTTGTTGTTGTTGTTGATGATGATGATGATCCAATGGATGATTCTGCTGGTGGTGCTCAGAATTTATATTCAAACCACCTCTAGAGTAAGAAGCATTCAGAGCAGCCAACATGCCTAAATTCGACTCGACTCCAAGCCCAAGATGCTGTGATGGCTGTTGCTGCATTAGCATGGAACCCAATTGGAGAGGGCTCCCTCGGCTGCCGGCTTGCTGGAATTCAAGACCGCTTGGAAGGTTAAACCTCGGCATGAAATGCAATGGCGCTTGCAATGTACTCCCGTGGCTGGCAGGTGCGGACGGAAACGTCCACATCTGTGCAGCCTCGGAAGGACCAGCCCCAGACGTCCCGGTGGGCATTGAGGGCACACCAGCACCAGCGGTTACTGGCAGCATCCAGAATGTGCTGCCAGCAGCACCGCTGTTCGGGGCAGGTGCCACTGCCCACATGGCAGTGGGTGGCAGGATATTCGAAGGCGGCCGCAGAAGCCCTGAAGGTCCTGCCTCCCCCTCCGACCCCTGTTGTTGTTTTTGCAATTGTAAGCCTCCGCTACTCTTAAAAGCCTTATTCCCAGACGGCGACCCTCCTCCTCCGCTGCTGCCTCCGCCGCCTTCGCCTCGCCCTTGATTATCATCCTTGAACAGATCTTCTCTGAAGCGCTTTCTCATATAACTGTCGGTGGAGTCTCCACCGCCGCTGTCTCCGCCGCCGCTTGGAAGCGCTTCTGCAATTTGATCCGCGGTCATAAGAGGAGACTGATGCTGCTGATGATGATGGTGATGATGCTGCTGTTGATGTTGTTGATGATGTTGATGAAACCCCAACAAACCCGAATGGGGAAAACCCTCGTCGTAGTGAGGGTGATGGGCAAGAGCCAAGGCGCCGGGAAAGGAATGAGAGGCGGACTTGGAAGGCGGAGCGGAGAGCGTTGATCCGCTGCTGCGCAGGGA